ACTCGTCCAAGCAGTCACTGCAGGGTCAGCAATGACTGAGCACAGACAAAAAAAAAAAAAACTTGAACACTTTCCCTATGAGAAAAGGCTAGAAGGTTTGAGATTCTTTAGGTGGAAAAAAAGGACACAGTTTTTCTCTCCCTCTCAAAACACTAGAATTGGGAATTATCCAGTGAAGCTGATCGAAAGGAGATTTAAAACAGACAAAACTAGATTATTTCTTCACACACCACACCAAAACTCTGGAATTTATTGCCATGAGACATGGTGATAGTGACTAATTCAGAAAGCTTTAAAAGCGGTTGGATAAATTTACAGAGGACAGGTCTGTCAAGGGCTATTGGTCTTAATATCCAGTGTTACTTCTGGATTGCAGGCAGCATGCCTCCAAACAGTTGCAGGAGAATAACTTTGGGAGAAAAGTGTTGCTCTAGCCCGTTTGTAAGCACTCCAAGAATGTCTGTTTGACAATCAAAATGTTGCACAAAGGGCTCATCTGCACTGCAGCCTTAAGCTGCTTGACTTCCATGTATAAACTGGAGATGAAGTCAGCTTAAATCACTTTCTGGGTTCAGTCTCTTCTCTACTTTAGCCATGGTGATGGCCTGATGTTCTGGCCAAACCACATTTATCACAGTCTCTGATTGGTGGACTCCCCTTCTTTACCTCTCCTACCCAGGCTGGGAAAACAAGCACCAACTGCTTTCTTTTTATGACTGGGGCTTTTGAAGACATGGCTTCTGCTGATAGGCCTTTTGTATGAGCCCCTTGCTTGATTTGAATCAGTGAGTTTGTGAAAGAGAAAGGAAAGGAAGATACTCTTTTCATGTTCTCTCTCTCACTTGGGCTAAGAGGGGAAGTGGCAGAATTGCCAACTTTATTTGGCTTAAGAAAGGCCTACCATCTCACTGCTCCATCACTGAGTTTGTTTAAAAAGGGGGCCAGACTTTCACCACTCCTCTGGTGAACTTACTTAAAAACTGGAGGGGAGGGGGCATTCCTGCCATAATGCACTCTAGTCAGTTGTGGGGGGGGAGGTAAGGGAGCTGCCCACAACCAAATGAAGCACAGGTGAACTGGATAGCACCACTTGAATGGTGCAAGTCAGAAAGCAGGGAGCGGGAGAAGATGGACAGAAGTTGCCTTCCAGGTTGGCTGCAGGCTACAACCACAGTATTGTGCATTCCTGCCTGAGAAATAATGGCCTGCACTCTCACCGGGGAAGCTGGTCTCTTACATTTCCTACTTTGCAGTTCCAACCCTTTTTCCCGTTTTGTGTAAGGTAGATCAGATATAAGCAGGGTTTAAAAGTGCAATTGTGCCGTCAGCGGCAAGGTACTTAGCAAGGTGGCTAAAAGAAGAAATCGCAGGTAATGTAAATAGCAGCAGCTTTTAAAGACCCTGCCAACCCAGAAACTGGTGAGCGCGAAGACTGAGTCCCAAACCTACCATTCTATTTTGACATTTTTTGATGAACAAGTCCTTCAGAAAGCACCTTAGACGAGTTAGGGAGCGTTTTTGCTCAAGCCCTTTTTGCTAGAAGTTTGCCGCAGCAAGGCAGAGGTGCCAGCCTCTTGTAACGCCAATAACTTCGAGAGAGCAGGACCCCAAATGGGGCGCGTAGGTACCCCGAAGTGCGGCAACTCCAACATAACAAAACAGGCGAACGCAGCGGCCGGAGGCGTTTCGCTCTTACTAAATACGGTTTCGGATACAGAGCGTGAAACCGATGACGCCCTTTTCCGAAACTGCTTCCCGTGTTACCGTTAATGAGGAAGCGAGGGCGGCTGCTGAGTTACTGGCGCTAAAATGGCTCCTTCCAGGCGGCTAAAATCTAAGCCTCGAAGTACCGACGCCTCCCTGTTCGCCTTGCACCGAGGCTCGGACGAGGCCCAGTCCTCCCCCGGCTTGTCGCATCTGAGGCCGCAGCCCCGCGCGCTTCGTACGTGGTGACGCAACGCTGTAGCGTGACGTTCGGAGGAGAGTTTCCCAGCCGCGCTCGCGCGTGTTCGGGGACGGTTGCCGTGGTAACGCTTCGCCGAGCCTGGCCTAGGATGGCTGCGGCGGCGGGGGCAGCGGTGGCCGCGGCGACGGCCGAGCAGGATGACGGGCCGCCCCTGCCAGGGCCCCCCGTGGGGCGACGAGCCGTCTGCTCCCGACCCTACTTCGTAGTGCTGATGGTGTTCGCGCATCTCTACGTGCTCAACGTGCTGGGCTTGCTGCTCTTCGTGCACATCAGCTCCGACGATGGGGGGGACCCGGAGCCGAGGAAAGAGTCTCCTGGCCCCGTGCAGGATGCGCCTGTGCAGCCAGTTTCTTCAGGCAACTCGGACCCTCAGACTCTGCCTCGCCTGCAGGGCATTAAGGCAAGCACTTTCCCCTGAGAGAGTCCGGGCCGGGTTTCGCGGGCGGCGGGGGGTGGCGGTCTCGCTCGCTTTTGTCGGTTTTTGTTCGAAAGTAAAGTTTTAAAAGCGGGAAGAAGCTGGTCGTCCCACCCCAGCGCAGCCCTGGCTCCTCTGGCCTCCGGTAAGGCATCTGCACCCAGACAGCAGCCTTGGGGGCAGGGCTGAGTCCAAGCTCTCCTCCATCAGGTGACGTCGCTCCTTGTATTTGAACTATGTATCCCACCATCCCCAGCCATCATAGTCACAAGTCACGCTGGTGGGAGAGGATGGCAGTCTTACGCTATGGCATCTGGAAGGTGTCTGTTCGGAGAAAGCTTCCTCGGATATTTTCTGTAATTACATTTGCTGTCTCACATTTGATCATAATATATGTATATTTGACATGCATAATAAAACCCTTGTTTTAAAAACATATTTGACATCCTTTTTTCCTTCCAAATCAGTTTTTCAGGTTATTTTTTACATCTTCTCCCTTTCTCAATGCTTGTGATGAATTTCAATTTCAGTTGAAAAATGGAGTGAGGGAGTTATATTATCCTCAATAAGTGTACATACACCCTCTCTCAACTCACTATCCCTATCTGGATAGTTGCCTATCTTTTGTAGCTATTTCCTGTTAAGAAAACAGTAAGATTAACATAGAAAGTAGCCTGGACCTTCAGAAATAGGTGCTGACTGAAATTATTTAAATTCTTTTAGATGCTTATTTTGTTCTTTGTACAGCCTCAAATTTCATTACGGAAAAAAGTTGACTGTTTCCCTTGCTGTCTTTTCAAAGACTGCTGGTTAAATGTTTGCTATTGCATTTATTTTAAATAAATTCCATTCAGCTGAATGAAACTTACTTCTGGGTAGACCTTTAGAACACTTCAGGATTGGAAATGTAGTTAATTCTGGGCTTCTTGTGCCATTCCTACGTCCTCTGGTATGGATAGGTGGGAAAACATGAGAGGAAAAGTTTAGCCCTTATATTTCTTACAACTCATGAGTTTATATATTGTTTCTATTTAAAGGGAAATATGTATTTTTCCTCATTTTTTATTCTACTTTAACTTTTTCCAATATGAACATAAATGCTGGAAGAATAAATATAATACAATTCTGTGCAAGTAGAGTTTGTCTTTATCTGTCATGATTAGGGTGGGTGAAGGCTGGCATTATTGGGTTTTGCATACTATAAGTATAGATCAATTTCTGTTCTGGATTTGTGCTGATCTTGATCAGAATAAGTAATGGAGTGTCAGTTGACTGTAAATGTTCTGAACTGAAACATTTTTTTCATTACATTTCAACCACCCAGAGTAGCTGGGAGCTGGGCAGCATATAAATTTAAGAAATTATTATTATTACTATTATCTTTGTAGAACTCATCTCCCTAGTATTTGAGGTTTCCTATCTGTACTTAATTTTCCTAGATGGATTTTTAAATATTGCTATTACTTATCTCTACTTTTAAAAGAAATGCAGCTATATTTGTTGTACAGAAAATAAATTGTAGCCTTCAAATAGTTAAAAATACTTTTGAAAATGGTATTCTGAATGCAGTCGTGTTTGGATGGCTTATTGCTGCTGTTTATATTAGAACCAGATTTGAATAGAAATTGGTGAAACTTGCAGTTCCTTATCAGGGAGAAATCACAGTATGGTAGAATAGACATGAAGGCCTTCAAAAAGATATTCAAATGCTGTGATGTCCCTATACTTACAAAGATCAGAATTGTGCAAGTCATTCTTGATGCTCTGTGGAAGCAAAAGAAGCACAATAGGAAGAGTATTGATACTTTTGAAGTTTGGTGTTGGAGAAGATTCCTGAGAATACTATGGACAGGCAATGGATCATTGAACAAATCAATCCAGAGTTCTCACTCCAGGCACAAATAATCAGGCTCAAATTATCCTACTCTGGACACATTCTGCGAAGACCCAGCTCTCTGGAGAAGGCTCTAATGCTGGGAAATGTGAAAGGAAAAAGAAGAGGATGATAAGCAGCCAGGTGAATGGACTCAGTTACATTGGCAATGAATACACCATTGAAAGGCTTGAAAGACCAGGTTAGGGATAGATCGTCATGGAAAAAATCTATGTGATCACTAGGAGTCAAAAACGACTTAATGGCACATCATCAATCAATCAATTTTGATAACTGATAAAATGTGCTATTTTTCTCCCACCTCTCATGACCCCCAGTATAAAGAAAGATACATGGACTGGGTACATTTATTGTTCAGGCAAATCATGTAATAGAATCTTAAGCTGTTCTGAGCAGTGATTCATTACTTTTTTATTGAAACTAGAACTCTTACAGAATGATAAATACAGGTCCTCGCTTAACGTCCTTTCATTCAGCAACTGTTCGAAGTTACAACAGTGCTGAACAAAAGGACTTAAAATCGGTCCTTGAAGTTCTGGTCATTGCAGTGCCCCCATGGTCATGTGAATGAAGTTTGGGCCCACTCAGGCCCACCTGCATTTATGACTACCTTTTGGCTGCCTGCCTACCTGCTGCTGCCAGCTGCCTTTGCCACCCAGCCCTGCCCAATGCCACTGCACCACACGCCATTACTGTACCAGCTAGGGCCTTCTTTCACACTGCCTTCTTTCGTGCTGGTTCAGCCAGGACTTCTCTCGGGCCCTGCCCAGGGCT